CAGAGCTCGCTGGAGTCTGAGCCAGCCCCGCTGCCTCCTCCCAGCATTCCCAGCTGTGGTGCTGGGAGCAGAGGAGCTGTCCCTCACCAGCTCCGGGGCGGTGAGCTCAGCCAGCTGGATGTGACTCCTGTCCCAGCAGCATCAGCCTTTCCTTCCGCTGCGTGAGCTGGGGAGGGACTCAGCATGCTGTGTCCTCCCCGCCCTGCCCAGCTGGGGCACCGGGGCTGCCAGCCCTTCCCATCACAGCCAGACTTGGCACAGCGGCGAGGAAAAGCAGTTCCTTGGAAAGGAAAGCAGGAAAACCTACAAAGGAAAGCAGGAAAACTTACCTCCTGGGGGTTTTCAGGGTTAGCCACTTGGTCATCGATGTCTGGCACTACTTGCAAAGGACCACTGAGCGAGGACATGGACTGCCTGGGGGAGAGCACAGCGCTGGGATCCAGAGCATGGCACCAGCTCAAACACCCTCACCCAGCCCTGGGCAGGGGGATCCCGCCGGGATGGCTGGGGCTGCCACCAGAGCATGGCACACACTGGGTGCAACTCCAGCTCCTGCTGCTACAAGCACCACAAGGCAGGGCACAGAGGCCCTTCCTGCACTGCTCTGTGATGCTGCTGCTTTAAGCCTCCGGCCACAGTGCTGAACACTTGCACAGGCCTCTCCAGCTGTATCCATGGCGGGAACATGGGATTTAAAGACTTCCTGCAGCTCCCAGACCCCTGGTGAGCCGAGCTGGGCACAGCTGGAGACCCCCAGGCCCGTCCCCTCACGTACCAGGAGGCTATGATGGAGCTGAGGGACTCCAGCACCTCAGAAGCTGTCAGCCGCTGCTGCGGATCCAGGACCAATAGCTTCCGGATCAAGCACACAGTGTTCTCCGAGACTCTGCCATCCCTGGGGGAGAGGACACACGGTGAGACTGGGCTGGGCAGGAAAGACATACTGGTACAGGAGCCACCCAGAGCCCCCAAGGTCAGCTAGGGGTCCATTCCCTGTCCTGGGACACCTCCACCCTGTCCCAGCTGTGCTCCTGCTCCTTGCTGTGTACCCACACAGCCTGCTCTCTGCTCAGGGCTCTGAGGGGAGCTGCCCCAGCAGGCCCAGGCTGTACTCACTCGGGGATGGTGTACTCGGCAGCCTTGATCTTGCGGAAGAGCTCCTGAGGTATGCTGTCGTAGAAGGGGAACTGGCCGTAGAGCATGGTGAAGAGCACCACCCCCAGCGCCCACATGTCGCTGGGCTTGCCCCGGTAGGGCCGTCCTGGGGGAGCAAGGACACACAAACTGAGCATCCCGAGGGCACAGGCTGGGAGAGCCCTCACCTCCCACCTCTGCAGGGACAGAGACCTCCCACGGCATGGCACCACAGCCCTGCCCAAAGGGCATCCCCTGTCAATCAGCAACTCCATCTCCACACCCCAGGGATCAGGAATATCCCTGATGAATGGCCTTAGGGGATCCAAGGGCATCAGGCAATCAGAACCTGTGCTGGATGGAGTCCCAGGTCACTGCCGGCAGCTCCGAGCCTAGCAGGGTCACTGATCCACCCAGCTGTGAGCGCAGGCCACAGCAGAGGGAACCCAAGGGCCAGGGAGCACAGGGCAGGGGGAGGCAGGGAAGAAGCTAGAGAGGCTTAGACTGAGCCCACAGAGATGGGTCTCTGCCCGTGGGATGGATCCAGCACACAGCCACTGGAGCTGGCCCTGAAGCCCCAGCAGGAGCAGGAAGGTGTTTCCCTGCACAAAGCTGCTGCCCTGGGATTCACCTGATGGAAGCAAAGCCCCTTCAGCCCCAGCAGTCAGCAGCATGCACGAGGGTCACAAACCAAACTCCAGTGCTGCAGCACAGCACAGGACCGAGGGATCAACTTCCTCTGACTCACACAGTGAGTCACTGCTGCAGCATTTGTTATTTGTACTAATTATTCTTTGCTTTATATGCTCAAAAAAAGGCACCTCTCCCTCCTCCTCCTCCAGCCTTTCCTGCTGTGACATTTCAGCAGCCATCCCTCAGCAGAGACAGCTCCTCCTGGAGACCCACAACAGTGATTAATTTCCCCTTGCACAGGAGCACCAGCAACAGAGGGATGCTCCGAGCCTGAAGGTGGTGGTGACGTCTGGAATGTCCTCGAGTAACTTCTCCCTCAGTGCCTGGAGGGGAACTGCAGGCTGAGCCATTTTGGGAGCAGTGTGGAGAGCACAGGATGGGCCCTGCAGGGAAGGGCTGCTGGCAGGCACCAAAGCTGGGGTGCAGCGTGAGGGCTAGGCTGGGCAGGGCAGGATGGGTCCTGATCTAAGGCTGTGCCTTGGAACAGACTCAGCTGTCAGAATTCAGCCAAGACAGCCTGCTCAGTGCCCTGTGGCCTCCAGGCAGCTCCACAAGGAGAGCCCTTGGGAGAAACATGGAGGGAGGCAGCTGGGATGGACAGAGCAGCACCCTGCAGCAGGGAGGAGCAGCTCCATGCAGCCTCTAACAGCCACTTGAGCCACAACTGCTTCAAGTCCCTGCAAAGCACTTGGCTCCTATCACCCATCAGGTCACAAGGGCCTCAGGATATCCTGCAGAACAGGAAAGGTCTGCAAAAAACCAGGATCCACCTCCCCTCCTGCCTCTGCTCCCTTCCTGGCTCAGGCCTGCCCAGGAGGGAAATGCCTCCAACCTGCCTGGCACATCACAGCAGAACAGCCTGGCTACAGTTACTGCTGCTGCCTGCAAACCTGACACACCTGAGGGGACTCCACTGGGGATGGACATTCCAAACTGACTCCCTCCAAAGGCATTTCTGCTCGGGATACCAGGAACAATAACTCATGGGCTAAGCCCCAATACCTGGATCAACAGAGGGAGAAGCTTCATTGACAGTCCCACCTGTACCTGCACCCTGCAACACTAGTCCAGCTCACCTAGGTGAGAAGAAACCCCCCAAAAATGATGCTTGGGACACTGCATGTCAAGCCAGGACCAGCACTGCCTGCTCCAGGGGCAGTCCAGGGACAGAGACTCTCATGGAGAGAAACCTCCTGAACAGACATAAACCACAGCTGTGTCTGACAGTCCCATGCACTGGGAACAGTTAAAGGCAGGAGGACATCAGGGAAAGCTGTTTTGTGCCAGACTCTGCTCTGCTGGAGACAAGAGACAGGCCAGGCTGCTGGAGAGGGTTTCCAGCCCAGCCAGACTGCTCTGGCCTGCTGTCATCATTCCTTTACTTTTAAGTAACTCCTCTCTGTCAGCCCAGAGGGTCACCAGTTCCCCCTGGAAGTGAGCAGCAGCTGCAGCAACTGCTCCTCTTAGTGCACAGCTGGAATACTCTGGCATCCTGGTGGGACCTGGACCAGCTGCCCCTTAGGCCCAGGGATTTACCTGCAGCTTAAGGGAAGCCTCAGGAACAAGATTCAGACACGGAAAACAGAACATCTTGTCTGCAGTCAGACTTAGCTGGGAACAGGCAGGAGCTTTGAACTAGCTTTGAAGTTCAGACAAGCCTTCAGAAGTAAGTCACGCTCACTCCTTCCCTCCAGCTTTCCCAGCTGGAAAAGCAGACCAAGGACCCTACGCTTAGGAGGCTCTCACAGAGGAGGAGCAGTGGGAACACAGCAGGTTTGGTGCACTGCCACGAGCAGGGCTGGGGGATCCTTACCGCTGAGCACGTCCGGGCTGATGTAGGCAGGGCTGCCTCGCTGGTCCTTCAGCAGGTCGTCCTCGCTCACCAGGTGCTTCCCCAGGCAGAAGTTCGTGATGGTGATCCGATGAGTCCTGGGCAGAAGCACAAGGTGGCAGTGAACACAGACCATCCTGCACCAGCCACACAGCACAGGCAGAGGAAGCTAACCCTAGAGCAGAGGGGTGTGTGCCTGGGGAAGCCTGAAGTGCTGGGAGAAGACACACACAGCTGTAAGATGAACTCCATCCCAAAGGGAAGGGATTCCAGGTCTGCCAGGATGGTTTGCAAAGCTCCCACAGGGACAACGGGAGAGTCTGTGTTACAGCTATGACAATCTCTACACCCAACAGGCTCCAGGTGCTGTCTGGCCACTGCAGAGCATGAGCAGCAAAGCTGAAGTCCCTTTTAGCTGCTGATTCTGCCCTGCACCTCTCAACTGCCATCTCTGAAGCATCTGCTCCACACAGCGTTTCCTGGGAGCTGAGGGAAAACACCCTGTGGCAGGGCTGCCCCTGCCTGGCCCTGGGCACTGTGTGCTTACATGTCACCAGATGAGCTGCAGGAGCTGTGATCAGGCTCAACACTTCTGTGTCACCCACAGTCCCACACAGGAGGTTGGTGGCAGTTCTACCTGATCTGCAGGACAGCTCTCCACCACAGGTGTGTGGAACAGAGCCTGACCAACACCCAGAAACCTCCCCCAGGAAAGGCAGCGCTGCAGGAACACACATTGTCTCTGCTAACACACCTCCACTTCCCCCTGCTGCTGCCAGCTCCCAGTAATGATTTTTCCATCCCTCATTAAAAAGCCACTGTCACATGAAATCCTCCATGTCACCCAGATAATTTGGATTTTGACTTACAACTTAAAGGTGTGAGTAGAAAAAAAGAACACTGTCTGGAGGATTTCTGTATTCTTGAAAAGTATTTCACAACTCGAGCCTGAGAGAATGGATGAAGTCAGTCACAATAACCAAGAAACATTCCCAGCCAGTGTGAGAGAGAAGTGAAACAGAACCAAGTGTGGGCTGGCCATGCAGAGCTGGTTATTGAGACAGACAGACTTGTGTTTAAGAAGTGTTAGCTTCAACTGTCAGGAGACTTCCCTGGCTGAATAACAGGCTGCAGGATTTGTTAAGGATTTAAAAGACTAAGTGTTCTACAGGACACTAAATGTTCAGGGTTGCTTGCTTTTATTTAGTCCCAGAAATCTGGCCTGTAATCACCCAACTCTGGCTGAGAGGCTTCAGTGCCTGCAGCAGGCAGGGGCTGAGGGACCCTCACTAGCCTGGGGTGTGACAAGCCTGCCAGGACCTCTCAGTGACACCTTGCTGCCTTCACTCCCCCATGAGCAGGGACCTTCTCCTGGGCTCTTTGTGAGCATGGCTGGAGCAGAACAAACGTTTGTGCTCAGCCCCACTGGCTGCTGCTCTCCATGGAGATGGCTCTGACGCCTCTCCCACCCTTCCCCATGACTCACTGCTGCACAGGCTACAGCTCTCCCTCACCACAGCTGATGGACTGCTTAGCAAAGAGCAGAGAAGATATGTTACACAAAGAATGCCTCTGACAAGTGTGTTCAAAGCCCTGGGTGCAGCCCCTTCCGTGGGGTGCACGCTGTGCCCAGGAAAGGAGGGAAGCTCTGTGTGGATCCTTTAAAGCACCGACCTTTGCCTCTTCCAGCAAGGAGAATCAAAGCAGCAAGCACAAGAGATTTCTCTTACAGCACCTCTACAGAAACGACTTGAAACAACTCAGAGGTGGCCCTGAGGAGCCCCAGCTGTGTGTGTGCGTAACCAAGAGGTTCAGCCTCGGGAGGTAAAACCTGTTTGCTGCCTGTGACAGGGAGGAGAGAGCAGCAAGCTGTGAGCCCAGGGAACCTGCAAGCTTGGTGCAGAGCCTGCAGACCTGCAGCCTTCCAGTTTCTTATTCATTCCACAGAAAACCAGACAGTGTGAAAAGGATGAATTCCACTCATTTTTCCAGTTAGGGCAAAATATTTAGGCAGTAACGTGATACGGGAGGACAGAGCAGAAAATCTGAGCTGAGCTCGGTGCCAGAGAAGTAACTGCAGAACCCCAGACTCCAAACAGCTCCAAGGAGGCACCAGGCACAGCCAGGCCACCACCTGCTGCCCTCACTGCTGAGCTCCTGCCCCTCTCCAGGGCTGCTCCCTGTGGCTCTGACAGCAACCCTTGGACACCAGCACATCCCTAAGGGAGGCTCCACGGAACAAAGGAGCCATTCCAAACACAAACACAGACTGGACAGAAGAGCTTTTGTTTAGCTAAGTCAATATTTTACCGCCAGCAAAAACACAGCAGTGCAGCAGTGAGATCTAGCACTGCTGTGGGACAGGCTGCAGTGCTGGGAAAGCCTCCGGCACGACGGGGAGGGCTGTGGGACAGGCTGCAGTGCGGGGAAAGCCTCCGGCACGACGGGGAGGGAATGGCAGGAACTGAACCAACCACTGAACCCTCTTCTGCAGCACATAAACCCAGCACTTCTCTTGCAGGTTCCTGAGCTGCTACAAAATTCAGTGTCACAAGCTGGAATCCCTGCAGAAGTGCTGAGTAGGGGTCACTGAGCTGGGGGGAGAGAGGAGCACCCAGGTGGGCTCAGTTCGTTTGTGGAGATGAACTCACAGCTTGGAGCTGGATCTGTGTTTCTGCACTCTGCTTCCCCTTCCCTCGCCCTCCTGCACGAGGGCACTCACCAAGTGCTGCCTCTGGCTGTTCCTGACAGAAATCTGCTTCAGAGAAGGGACATAAACCAACTGCCAGGCAGCACCTCTCCAGCCAGCTTACCTTTTGTTTAGCACCATGTTTCCTAGTTTCAAGTCTCTGTGCACAATATTTTTCTGCAAGAAACATAAGGTATAGCATGAGCAAAACCCTGTTTGTTAGAGAAGTGTAAGTTCCATACTTGGACAAGAGCACTAAAGAGAAATCACGGCATCTTCATTCTCAGAAGTAACCCAGGTTGAGGTTCCAGGTCTGGTTCCATCCTGGGCACTTTGTGCACTTTATTTTCAATTCTGGTCAGGACAAAACAAGGAAGTTTTCTACTTTGTTCACAAAGACAGACTTGAGAGACCTGAGACTGAAGTGTCCAGGCTTGGTTAGACCCATCTGATGATCCCTCAAGGGATCCCTCAGGGCAGGATGGGTGTCCCATGGCATGAGGTAACACATCAAGCACCAGCAGAATCCATTTCCATTACAGCAGTTTCCAGCCCATTGATCTCAAACTTGCAGCTTGAGGTTCTGATCTCACAAATCAATTCTTGCACTGATTTATTTGGCTTCAGAAGCAAACAGCTTGTGTTTCCTGTGTCTGAACAGCCTCTGCTCTCCTCTGACCACCCCTGCCTGAGCTCACCACACTGTGGTGCACCTGCCCTGCCCTCAGCCCTGCGGGTCCCTCTCCACAGCCCACAGACTCCTCCTCGCCATGCACAGACCTGAGGAGCACAGAGGGAAGGGCAAGGAATGCCCTTCAGGGCCTGGGGCAGAGGTGCTGTGCCCCTGCAGCCTGTCCCCTGCCTGCACAGGAACCTCTCACCTTGTGTAATGCTTCCACCACTCGTACCACGTCGTAGAATATCACCACGGTCTCGCGCTCGCTCAGCCTCTTCTCCTTGATGACATAATGCTGCAGATTGATCAGATCTGCTGTCTTGTCACTGAAGTCGTGAGCACAGAGACAGTCCAACACCAGGCAAATGCGCTTCTTCATCTTCCTCACCATCCTGTTGGCTTCCAGGTCTTCTATAATCTCACAGGCTCTGTCCTGGGGGAGGCAAACAGGAGCAGCACTTCAGGGAGGCTTCAGGGCATGTGTACAGAGGCTGAGAGAACAAATAACTGCAGGGTGAGCTCAGAACAGGCAAATGCATCACAGTGCTTGGTCTTTGGCCTAAGGTGAGATGTCAAAAAGATACAGGATACATTGCCAGCTGTTGTCCTGTTTGAAGGGGACTGTGCTGAGTGTCTGCCCCATCCATGAACTCTCACATGCCCCAAATCCCAAGCCCTGTTACATCCCACTGAACTCTCCAGAGCCTGTTTGAAGCAGCAGTGGTTAACCTCAGCACAGTGCTGGAACTCTGGACACAGAAGAACAGGGTCAGCACGAACTGTTCATTAAACAAAAGCAGCTCAATCCATCAGCATTCCCTGGCATTGCCCCAGGCAGGATGGTGACCGGGTGTACCTGGAAGAGCCCGTGATGATGGACCACTCCTTCCTGGTTGTGGAGCAGGGAGAGCAGAGAGTACTCTGTGTGCAGCAGCATCTTGCCCTGTCGCTCCTCCTGGGTTTCTATTCCTTTGTCACCCCTTTCTTCTAAGGTGAGAATCTTCAGGAAAAGGGAAGAGAACTTTACAGTTCCCAGAGAAACCCAAACGCCTCCAGCCCCTCTCACTGTGCACTCCCGTGCTTAGCAGCTGATGTAATGCTCTGAGGGCTGTGTACTTGCCACAGACCTGAACTCACTCCCAGCTGTGCAGAAAGCACAGCAGCAGCTTCACTGACATGGAAAAGCAGCTCAGGTGGCTGTTTGCAAATATCCCAGGGGATTTCTCCCTTCTGGAGCTGCCCCATTTCAGGCACAGACTGAGGGCTCTGGGAGAGCAGTTCAGCAGCCAGAGGCCTCGTCTCAGGGCTGGTCTGAACACAGATCTGTGCCTGGCAGCACTGCCCTGCTGGGGGAAGCTCCAGCAGCTGTTTCTGACCCAGCACTGGTTCAGCCCACACCACACTCTGCCCAAGGGCTGAAGAGCCCTGAAAATCTGGCAGCCTGCAGTTTGCTTACCTTTAGCTGATAAAAGTCATCTGTCCCATCCTTTCTTGCCAAACACTGAACAATACTTGGCACAGGGGAGTTACCTAAACGAGGACCTACAGCAGAATGCAGAAACAAGACTTGTTTTCCTTCCAGCAGCAGTGACTAACTGGGGTTACATCAGTGTGTCATGCAGTTTGGCTTAAAACAAGTTCCCTTTTTGCAGGAGCCTGAGAGCATTTCTATAAATCTAAAGCAAATTAAAAAAAAAAAAAAGGTCTTGAACTCTGAAACCTTTGGGGACAGTTTCGTCTGTTCCCTTGAGAAACACTTCTCCAAGCCCACACGTGGCCCAGCTGTCTGCAGAAACTCTGCCTTCTGCATGCCTGAACCACACAGCTCTTACACTCAGCAGCAACACCCATGGCAACTGCCACACCTGGGAACACAGCTGCCACCTCTGCAAGGACGGCTCAGGTGCGTCCAAACTGCCCCAACTTTCAAGTGCACACAGCCTCCACTCCTCAGTGCAAACCAATCAGCTCCAATTGATCAGCCACTGGCTCCCTCTGTCAAACCTATCATTTTGTACAGTTTATGTAACTAGTTCTGAACCAACAACTATTCCAGCAGCTCTCAGAGCTAGCAGTGGCCTTGCCTTGGCCCATACCACTTCCAGTGACCACCAGTGCATTACCAAGATGTCCCCATGCTGCTGCAACAGCACATTCCAGGCCAGCAGGGCTGAACACCTCCACAGTGCCCTAACCAAAGCACTCCCAAATAAATTTGCTCTTTAACAAAGTTTAAGAGTGTAGTGTAAAAAAACCCAAAAGGGTAAAGCCAAGGGCTCACACCTCCCCCCAAAGCCCTGCCTGGCTGTTCTGCACCCCTCAGCCTCCCGGGCAGCAGCAGAGCCCCCTCCCAGCTTACCCAGGATGAAGGGACCTGCTCTCTTGGCGTTGTTGCCAGAAATCCCCGCGCACAGAGCCTTGGCCTTGGCGGACGTTTCCCCAGCGCCTCTGTCCGACGAGCGCCGCTTCATCCTCGGCTCTGCAGGGAGAGCAGACACCACAGCCCATGAGCAACAGAGTTATTTTCTGCTGCTCTCCCTGGCTGGTGCTGGAAGGCTCTCACCTACGGATGCACTGGTGGCTCTGCCCACTTGTGTGTCTACACACAGCCCCAGCTCCCTCTGACAGACCGGGGTGGGCTGGAGCTGCAGCAGCTCTGGAGGCACAAATCAGCCTCGTCATTCAGAGCAACGTTTCCTACAACAGTTGTCTGAGAGACATAGTGGGAACAAGTCAAGATAATTAAAGCTTGTTTTACAGCAAAAACAAGTTTGCAAATTAACATATTCCAAAAAGCTCTGGAAGAAGATGCCCAAGTTATCCCTGTGCATGGGTGTCTGCTGCAGCCTGGAGGCTCTCGGGGGTTCCTCCGGGGAGGAATCCCACCAGGCAGCACAGCCACTCACCGAGTCCCTCAGAGGCTTCAGTGTTGCTCAAACAGCCAAGAATGCACAAAAACATCCATAAAAATGAACATCTTTCCCAACAGGGACATAGCAAACAAATACGTTAGTTATTGTGAGATTCAGTTCGTTTCACAAGGATTATTCAAAAATGTATTTTTAGTCTTGAAGAAAGTTCCCTCTCACTTTGTACCCCTGAGGCTCTGCCCTTGGTACATCTCCATCTACCTACATCCAGTACAGCTGCAACGTGGAGTCCAGCACATAAAACTGTCACCTCAGCCCCCACGTGCAGCAGTTGTGCTGTGTTTGGATTTAGCACAGTGTTAAAAGCTTTAATGGACTCTGCAGGGAGAGGCAGCACCGTGGGGCTCTCTGCACCACTGCAGGGAGAGGCAACTTGTTCCCAGCACACCTCACCTTCAGCTCTTGGAAAACAGCTTCAAAGACTTTCACAAACATCTGCACATTCAATGCTTGTGGTTTCACTTTCTGAAGACATTTTTGGGGCTGGAGAAGAGGAACCAAGCATAGCTCCATTTCCTCACTCAAACCCAACCCTCCCCCAGTTCTTCCCTAAGAGGTTACTACAGCAGACTGGGAAAATATTGTTTGGGTTGTCCTTATTTGTTTTGAGAGCTCCAAGTGTTTCACCATGCCAGGGACTGATAAGTCACCTCGCTCCGAGGGAAGTTTCCCCCTGGCAGTCCCACCCTTTCCATGGACATGAGCTGATCTCACTGCAGTAATTCACCCAGCAGCACCTGTCACCAGGAGCAGAGACAGCCAGGGAGATAAGGAGTCTTGCAGCAGACTTGGCATCCCTGCTCTCCTGACTTCCACCGCCCTCAGACCTCACCAGAGCAACAACACCAGTGAGCTGAGTCCTGAGGCCCCTGTGCTCCTTGTTCTGTTCATTCCACAGCCCTGACCCACTGTGTCTTACAAACTCCTCCACTCCTTGAGCATCATCCTCTCTGCCAGAAGCATGTGAGTACCATCTCCTTCAGAGAACTCCCCCAACACAGCTCTGGGATAAACCCCTGTGCACTCTGGGCTGGCTGCCCACCGCCACGAGAGGCGTCACCGTGAACAACGCCGAGGACTCACGTGGTTCAGCATCAACTGTATCGTTACTCTTCTTCCAAACTAGGTTTTCCAGCGTCTCAGGAGGCAGGAGTCCTCACCTCGGAGAAGGCTGGATGGGGGAAAGGTCGAGGACTCTGTAAGGTGAGAGGAGACACACCTGATGCTGTGGTTCTGGGTCGCTGTGATTGCCACGACACGGGATGCACCAAACCCGGCACGGCCGCGTGGGTTTGGCCCAGGAGAGCTCCTGGTACCACCCAACCTTCTCTCCTGGGACCCACCCAGTCAGGAGAAGTTGGAGACCTGGTCCAGAGGCTCTTGTCCCTCTCTGACCCTCTTGGCACAGCCTCTGCACTTGCAGCAATGAAGCCAACAAACTGAATCACACGAGCAGCACCAGCTGCACCTTTTCCACCAAAACACCACCCTGGGCAGAACTTATCAGTGAGGATTAATCAAAGCTCACATTTAACCCTGGCTGAGGGCAAATCCAAGTTATTGAGAAGCTGTGTTGGGCACCACCTAAAACACAGCATTAAAGAGGTACAAGCTGGAGCAGGGCCCAGCTTCCCACATGGAACAGGCAGGTCGAGGAGTGCTGATCCCAGAGCGTTGCCTCATGCCTTCCCGGGCAAACTCAGCCAGGGACAGCTCAGCCCCGAGTCATCAGCACTCCCAGGGACAGAGGCTCCCTTCCCATTGGAACAGCTTCCCTGAGAACAGGCGGAGTTTGGATCAGGCCGAGCCTGTGGAGGAGTCACTGGCTGGGGGATTCCAGGGAATGTTTGAGGGCAGATCCCAAGCAAAGCAGGAGTTGGGTTCAGTGTATGAAGCTTGGCCTAAAGTTTGGCCCTCGTGTCCCAGCTGGTCCTTGGATACCAGGATCACACCAAGGAGGGATCCCACTCTGGGAGGAGGGAGAGCAGAGTCACCCACCAACTGTCCCCAAGGTCTTTTGGGTCTGCCTCCTAAGCAGGTGAAATTTCTGCTCCCCTCATATACATCCCAACCTCCTCCTCCTCCTGTGGCACGTGCAGCACCATCTAGGTGGGGAGGTGCGTAACAGAGCGGTAGGGTGTACTTCATTAAGCTGACTAGCACATGTAGGGAGTGCATTTTAACATTTAAATGGCCCTTGGTCAGGCAAAAGTTCCTTTTGGGCTAGGATGTCCTTCAAACCCTCAGCCCTGTGACTTTGGGCTGTTCTCCAGCACCAAACCAGGCCTGTCCTGTCTGCGCTGCCCCTGCTCCTCCTGCAGCCAGCTCAGCCCTCCCGACACCACCAGGCACAGCTCCATCCCCGAGAGAACCTGGAACGCACGGGGAAGCCTCAGCCCTTCCCTGACTCCTCACTCATCATCCCACAGGGAGGAGGAGAGGGGC